CACAATCTGTCCTCCATCTTTCAGCAGATCTGATGTTACCTGATCCTCACCAGCAGCTTTGCCCCTTTGCATGCTCTCCAAAGCTTTCCTGACTTCTTCTATCATTACTGGTGGGGTGTAATCTGGGTTACTGCTAGTTCTTATAGTATTAAGGCCGTGGTTGTCACGGCTACTGTACAGATCTCTGTAAAACTCCTCTGCTATTTTAACTATCCTATCCATATTGGTAGTTATTTTGCCTTCTTTGTCCCTTAGTGCAACATCCGACTTTTGCCTATCCCAAGTTTCCTCTTCAATGCTTTGACACTTCCTCCGTTTTTCAGAGCGTGTTCAATTCTCTCCATGTTATACCTTCTTACATCGCATACCTTACGTCTATTAATCAACTTCGAAAGCTCTGCCAGTTCTATTTTGTCTGTTGTACTTGACACTTTCATGATTTGACGCTTCTTAATTAGGTTCTTCGTTTCCTGGGAAAGCTTGCCAGTGTCCTGTCTAACTACCCTGCCTCCAACTTCCACTGCACACTCCGTAATGATACTCGTTAGATTATCATTCATTGTATCTACGCTAAGGTTCGTTTCCTCACTAAGAGCCGAGTACCTGTTCTGCAGCGACACTGTGAATTCCTGTACTTTCCCTCTCAATGCTAGCTGATTGATTGGCTTCTTGCGTATCAGTTTCTGTCGTTCCTTCTTCAAGTCTAGGCGAATTCGAGACCGTACTATTCTATGGTCACTGCATCGTACCTTGCCAATCACTTCCACATCCTGCACGATTCCAGGTTGTGCACTCATTATAAAGTCTATTTCGTTCTTATTTTCGCCATTAGGGCTCCTCCATGTCCACTTGCGGTTTTCTCGTTTTCGGTAGAAGGTATTCAAAATCCGTAAATTATTGCGTTCTGCGAATTCTACTAGTAGTTCTCCTCTGGCGTTTCTAGTACCGATGCCATAATCTCCTGCTGCCTGGTCTCCAGCCTGCTTCTTCCCTACCTTTGCATTAAAGTCGCCCATCACTATAGTATACTGTGTTTTTACCTTACTCATTGCCGATTCCACGTCTTCATAGAAGCTTTCAACTGAAGCGTCATCATGGCTGGATGTAGGCGCGTAAGCCTGTACTACCTTCATCTTGTATCTTTTATTCAGTTTAATTACGATACCTACCACCCTTTCATTAATGCTATAGTATTCCTCTATGTTGCCAGCTATGTTTCTGTGAATTAGGAACCCCACTCCCAGTTCTCTTCTGTCTGCCAAGCCCCTGTAGCAAAGGACGTGCCCATTCTGTAGCACCGTATAGGCCTCATCTGTCCTCCTAACTTCACTGAGCCCTATTATATCCCATTTAACACCCTCTAGCTCCTCGAATAGTACAGCTAGACTTCCCTCACTAGATAAGGTTCTAGCATTAAACGTTGCCAAGTTCAGGTTCCAATGGCGGCCTGTCCGGATCCAGAGATTCTTAGCACCCTCTGCTGCGTTGCAGATCTGACCGCCGCCATGGTCAGTTGCTTCGCAGCTGCTGGGGACTGAGGGCCGTGAGTTATTTGACGTCAAATATAAAGTGTATTCTCACTTAAAAAAACGAGCAGACCAACACTTCAGGTACAATGGTTGCAGGAAACAGGTAGCTGTCCCAGCTCCGCGGGACACTCACGATGCAGGGTATACAGGGACAAGGCTCCTTTTTTTGCCTCTCGAGACGTACTTGGTCGTTGCACGTCTCAACGTGAAAGACCCTTTCCTTCGATTAATAGAGGTGATCGCTCGCCGATATCCCGTTTAGGGATCCCTGCCATATCGTGAGGAATGAGCGTGTAGTGAGACATTATGCCATTTTATTCTTATGTACCCACCCTATTGTTTTATTCTGCGCTCTTGAGCTGAGAGACAATTAGGCTTATTGTGGGTGGGGCCCTGTAAGTGACGGTGGCTCGTCGGCCCGGTCCCATTTACAGGTACGCGCAAGTCGCGCATAATTCACTCCATCTGCTTCGATAACGCAGCCTTCCAGGCGTACATAGCTGTAGCATATCCGACGTACCCCGATTAACCAGCCTTGGAACGCTTATTCATCACATTATATACGAGTCTGAACGATATGTCTTGTGCTGACACAGCTACGGGAAGCGTAGCGTCCCCCGTCGTAGCGCGCGGTCGACGCGGCATGATCAGCTGAGAGAGAGAAAAAAAGAAAAGTAAGGGGGGAGGGGGGCAGCGCATCACCTCCTGCGACTCTATTCAGTTTTCCCCGTCATCCCTAATACTGAGACGCGATATCTTAATCGCACAGCTGCGCACACAGCAAAAGAACGCGCCTAGACTTCTGCTAGGCGCGGTTCATTCCGTTAATTAAAACAGCCTCTTAATTGCGCAGCACCACCGCGCTCGACTTCTGCTGGGCGCGGTTCATTCTGTTAGTTAAAACGGCCTCTTAATTGCGTAGCAGCGCCGCGTTCTACTTCTGCTAGGCGCGGTTCATTCCGTTAATTAGAACGGCCTCTTAATTGCGCAGCAGCGCCGCGCTCGACTTCTGCTAGGCGCGGTTCATTCCGTTAATTAAAACGGCCTCTTGATTGCGCAGCAGCACCGCGCTCGACTTCTGCTAGGCGCGGTTCATTCCGTTAATTAAAACGGCCTCTTAATTGCGCAGCAGCACCACGCGCGACTTCTGCTAGGCTCGGTTTATTCCGTTAATTAAAACGGCCAGCGTCGCTCATGCACTCGCGAAATGCACCGCGGATAGCACGAAACTCTTACGGAGAAGCCACAACTACAAGAGAAAAATTTTCAGCCAAAAAATGCACCGCGGATAGCACCAAACTTTTACGGAGAAGCCACTAAGACAGAAGAAAAATTTTCAGCCAAGAAATGCACCGCGGATAGCACCAAACTTTTACGGAGAAGCCACAACTACAGAAGAAAAATTTTCAGCCAAGAAATGCACCGCGGATAGCACCAAACTCTTACGGAGAAGCCACAACTAGCCCCGCCGCGGTGGTCTAGTGGCTAAGGTACTCGGCTGCTGACCCGCAGGTCGCGGGTTCGATTCCCGGCTGCGGCGGCTGCATTTCCGATGGAGGCGGAAATGTTGTAGGCCCGTGTACTCAGATTTGGGTGCACGTTAAAGAACCCTAGGTGGTCAAAATTTCCGGAGCCCTCCACTACGCGTCTCTCATAATCAAATGGTGGTTTTGGGACGTTAAACCCCACAAATCAATCAAGCCACAACTACAAGAAAACACTTTTAAGTCCAAATTTAGTTGCAGTCTGGCAACAACCACTCCTTTCATTCTGGCAACCACTTATGCAACGCCAAAAGTAACCTTGCCGCCTGCGATGTGTTAGGTGGATAAAACTCCGATGAAATCGTGGCCATGGCCTAGGCCACTCCCAAGAAGGACTGGAGTGTCGTCGCTGCTTCATGTGATTGCTGGATGCTTAGTTGAACCTGGTCGTTGGAGCTAGCACGGCCGTCCACCGCACCGCAGCTTCATTTGAGTGTGTGCGCCATAAAGTTTCTCAGTATGATGTGCGGATTACAATCGTTGGACGTACTGCGCTTTCTAGATTGCAATGCCAAGCGTGGTGTTGTCAAAGGTGAAAGTGTTCTTGCTGCCGAGTTTTGCTTGTCGCGAACGGGCAAGGTCGACGATGAAATAAATGATTTCGCACGGTTCACGTGTGACTGACCGGACGCACATGCATGAAACCCCAGTGCGTCGGCGAAGTGTTCATACGGTGGATGGAAACAACTTTATTGTAATGTTCTTACGAAGCCTGTGATCTACGAAGGCCAAAGCTACTGCATTGCCGTCTGTTTTGTCAAGTGCGAACACGTACGGCCGTTCTCAACCGTTGCTACGTGAATGCTCCCGTGCTGTCACAGGCCGCGCGTGTTATTGAGCAAGACAGACAAGTAGTTAGATGGGCTAACGCCGTCGGCACTTGCCCTTGGGCATTGTTTGTCAAGTGCTGATCGCCGAGAACACTGCGGTGACACGTCAGTATTTTTAAAGAAAGCGGCCTGCCGGTTTCCTCGTCAGGTGATGGTACACTGAGCGACGTAAAGAAAGTTGCCCGAGACTACGTTGCAGTGCACCTTTCTGTCATCAAAACTTTAATAAACCGTGGAAATCAACATTCCTGACACCTGTGCTGAAGAAACCAATGCAGCCAGCTGCATTCGAGTTTTTGTTTCGAGTTGGTACTAGCCCAAAAAACTCGAAAGGTCGAGTTTGTGTCTTTTTGCGTCTCGCTGATTAAGAGCACTAATTCGCAAAACACTTTATCATTATAAATATAGTCAATCCTGCAAGAGTCATCTAAGATCTAATATTAAAGGGCCTGTGGACGGGACCACCACCAGCAGCAAGTCGGGCTGATGAGGAGGCGCAAATGTTAAAACACTGCATGTGTGAACAAAAAAAAAAGAGAAAGTATCGATAACTGCAATGGGACTTGAATCACCGAATTCACCAGTTTATGTGTTGCTTTAACCAACTACGCCACTGCTGCCGATTGGTTTGAGATGACAAACAAGCTGGTTTTGTATTGTAGTCACGCTAAACCTAAATAACATTTTTGTTCATTTTTTTTGTTTGGACGTAATTTTAATGGCTTTTATCGTTATGTCTAGACGTACCGCTAGGCACTCCTGACTATTTAAACAAAGCGCCTAACCGGAAAATGCGCACTTCACTTCTGTGCGGCGCAGAAGCCACTTCTGTGTGGGGATGGCTGCTGCGCCGCGCGGAGCAGCAGTCTCTGCCAAACGTGATTGAAATTATGCAGCCACTGGTAATCTAAGACATATTTTTAAAGTACAAATATATGTTTTGTAATGAAATGTAATATACTATTAGGTAATGGCGTAATAATAGTAGGTAATAAATATTATGTAAAATAATTTATTCAAAACAAAAGCGTCTTGCAGCGCTCTTTAACAGCTTTGCGTAGTTGGCGCAAAAAAAGCCAGGCTTAACATTGCACTAAGACGCTGAGCGGTGTATTCAAACGGAAGCGGAAAGGTGACAACACAAGCCACAGAGGCACGAGCGCGTTTCGTCTTGGTGGTCGTGACACTGGTGGCACCACAGCGACCGCAGATAACACGCCGAGTGAGCCCAGTGCCCGAAACCACCCACGAAATGAGCGCGCCTCTGCAAACAGTAGCCTCGGATATCCGCAGCCTCTCCTCGCACCAGCGGACCATGTCGACGACGGGTGAGTGCTGGTCTCGTTGTCGCAGCAACAGTGCAATTGCACGTTATTGTAGCCGTAACTGTGGACATTTATCGTGTACTGCACTGCTCGAGGCGCTGCTCAGTGCGCCGCCCCTTATCCCGCAGTGTTGCGTGTTAACGGCTTTTTGAAATTATTGAGTTCTGGAATAGTGTACGCTAATTTGCGTTATTGTTTGTCGCCACATACATGTGTCGTACGCTATCCTCTTGCGTACAGACGGAGTCGCGCTTGTTTGAAGCTCCCAGCCGGCCACTCCTGCCGCCGTTTTCTGCAGAAATGCGCGAAGCACGACGCCTTATCGAACATGGTCATACGGCGTGCTAGATAGTTGTGCCGCAATTCAAGCATGAACGGAAGCTTGTAGCTAACGTGAGGTAGTAGCTGCAGACAACAGCGTCGTCAGCCTCGCGTTCCACTGCTGTAGAGGAGTTCTGTATTCACTCCCGCTAAGTGACGGAAAAGCGGGCACGCAGCTAACTCCCATCTTTGCGTGCCTTATTCTAAGGCCCGTATTCACAGACCAACCTTATTCGTACCCCGCGCTTTCCTTGTGAACTTGGTGCGTTTGATGAAAAATGTAGGTCAGTATTCACATGGAAAACATAGTTGTTTTTTTTTTTACGTTGTTAACATTTTCGTGCCGTTATAACGCACTTATAGTGCACACGAACCCCAGGAGCACGTCACATTACGATAAGGTGGATGTGTGAAAACAGGCCTAAAACTGCCTACTAGCTTCACACCACACGCCAGCTTCACGAAGGTGCTGTCATGTAATGAAATGCGTTATAATGTTTGTCACCTCAAAGTATGCTATGACGGCAGAGGTTTAGTGCATAGAAGCTTGTATCAGAGCACATTGCAATTACTTGTTTTTAGAAACAGCTATGCTAGCTCAAGTTGCATTGGGAATGGTTCTACTTAGCGTTTAGCGCCTGATGAGGCTGTTTCGCAGCTGCGAAATGTGTCCTGTTTATCACATGATCAATTTTCGAAGTCACTGTAGCGTAGCACTCGTGGCAGCCAGCCAGCAGGAGAAAAAGACAACGCGCTGGTGGCTTCTGGTGTGTGGTTTGCAAAGTGTTCTGGCTCATGGCCAGGACAGACGTATGGGCTACGAACGCTTCAATTTTTCGCTTCGCCCGTGTCTCAATGAAGCTGCGGCCTAGTCAGCCGCCTTTAAGTCCTCATGCATCTTGCATCTTTTTCAAATGCACTGCATGCAGTCAACACTTCATGTGCCATTGCTTGTATATCAAGCAATCTTTGTGCAGTGTGAATTTATTTTGTGTCTACAATGCCACGTTCTCGCTCAAATAGCCAAGTTTCCTGCTGTGAAAATTATTTCCCTGCTGAAACTGGAAACATTTCCAGCTGGCTCTCCAGTACGGAACGCTTTCCAGCTCTGTGCTCGAACTATCATTTCCAGCTATTAAAGTGAAATTGTCAGCCTCAAAGACAGTGTTCACCTAAAACCAAAGTGGAAAGCATATTCGCAGTTCAGAATTTGCATCCCATTTTCATGTTGGTTCAAAAGTTATAAACGTGGTTTGATGTTTTATCTTTTAGCAGTGCACTAGCACAGCTAATAATGAACTATTACCTGGAGTTCTGGCCACCGCCACGGCTGTGGACTGCCACTGTTTTGTTCTTGGAGTGGCACAAAGCTTGTCTACTATTTTATACAATTTCGAAAGTGTGGTATCGCATGCCGTGCGGCAGATGCCGACGTACATATAGGTCTGCCATTAAAGGGAATACCTGCGTGCATGGCATGTTTGAATTTTGCTCTGTTGCAAAATCACAATGGCTTAGATTTGCATAAAACTAACAGTGATTGACAGTTCTGACTCCTCTTGACAGGCTAGTGCCGTGCTCAAACACCGTTTCTTTATCCACTTGCTGCTAGAGGGCTTGAAATATGAAGTGGTTATTGTGGTGTACCCTTTAACAGTGGATTGTACGGTACATCTTGAGTTAACTTTCTGTGTAGTTCTCGAGATTCATTGCTTTTGTAAGCAGGAGGGGGGGGAAAGTGCGTAGGCTGCCAGTGTCATGCGAGCCAGACCTATAACATATACATTTCTGCATTTTTTAGCATTAGCGCAGATTAGAGTAGGGTAACTTATGAAACTAGTGGCTCAGGCTGCAGTGCCTTTCATAAGCTGCATGCCGCTTCATAATGTCAAACTGCATAAAATATGCTTTAGTACGAAAACCTTCCTTGACTATCATCTGTCACCCTTTTCACTGCTCGATACTGTTTAGAACAAGTCCAAGCGATTTTTCTAGCGAGAAGTATTTAGAACATTCCCAGTTTAGAGCATATTTTAAGATGTATTGGCACCTTTAGTCGCAAGATATCATCTTCGTCGTTCCTCTGAGACTTTTGCTAGAAGTACCGATGCCCTATTTGTTCCCAAGTCTGACCACACACACTTCTTACGAATTCAATGGCAATGCTTCGTTTTAAGTTGTAGAAATCTCGACCAAAAAGAAAGTGCTTTACATCCAAGAAATTATTTTCTTATGTTCAAGAAATACCGGCATGTGATATGAATTTCATATCGAATATACGTGCTATTTGTACGTATTAAAATGGCACATCCATTATGTGGAGGGCATCACAGATATAAACCTATTCACCGCAGAAGCAGCGGAATGATCAAGTTATGTGGCCAGAGGCCACATAACTTATCTCGCTCTCCAAATCCAAAGCAATGTTGTCTCACCTAGAAAAGGTACAAATAAGCATAGACATGCGAATTGACCGTTTATAGCCAAGTTGTGGAGTTATAGACTGCAAGGCGCTGTATATGAAAGGCAGCTTCGTCGCAATACATTCAGATTGTGGACTTCAGTTTGCTGGCTTTGAACACTGCACAAGCACCACATATGCAGTGTGTTGAGTGGTACTGGCTTGTCTGGCACCACAGAAGGGGGACCAAGTCTCTTTGCGCTGTCGTGTGTAGCTAACACAACAATGCCTGATAAGTGTGAAAAGGGTTATGGAAAGCATGCTTCCCTGTACGACTACGTGGCAAATGTCGGCGATTGTAATATCGGGGACACGCGGTGCACTGCCGATCCTGGTCGAGGCTGATCAGGATCGGGTTTCCCAAGTGACTGGCTCCGACCTGCTGCTTGTGTCAGAGACCCAATCATAATCATGAAATTTGATTGAGATCAGGCACGATTGTGTTCAAAAGTGGTCACATGATACCGGCATAATACACCTTGATCTGTTGTCATTGCAGAGTTCGACATGGCGCACCCTATCGCAGCGAAGTCTGCGTTGATCCAAGGAAGGCGTCATGCACTCTCCGACAGGGTCAACCACAGTTTCTCTGGAGGTGTGAGTAATTTTTTAAATCTGTGTCGCGCTGTAGACTGCAGAATCTGTGCAGGCATGACTGCACTGCAACTCGAAGTCCAAAGAACCCATGCTTACCTGACGAAGGGGGCAGGGCAGGGGGGAGGGGTGATCAGCGTCCAGCTCACATCAGCCAGGAGTGTGCGTCGATTGGTTCAACCATAGAGGAAGAAATGCCACAGACTTATCAAGTTGTATTTGACTTGGGGAGGTTGTCTACTGTCATTTCTGAAAAAGGAACTGTTTTGCGACAAGGCAGAGGCAAGCAAACTGCACTGTTATCCGAACCACCACAAGGCATGCTTCACTGTTAAATGGATGCTCTCCCCTCTTATGTCAGCGATAGTATCAAAGTACTCTTCTGATGATGTGCACATACACCACTTTCAAATAATGAGCCCCGCCTTTTCTCTTTGTTTTCTAATTTGTCTCACAGCGCATGTGTTCCCGGCTTGGCATTGACATAAGTCGGTGAAAAAAATTGGAGCTCACTGAGACTCACTCAAAAATGTAGTTTGCACCTAGGGCTCACTCAGACTCTGTGAACTTTTTCTCGGCTTGACTTGCTCGGACTCGCACTCACGAACGTATTATTCTGACAGACTCGCTTGCACTTAGGCTTGCGGCTCACCCCGCCGTAGTGGTCTAGTGGCTAAGGTACTCGGCTGCTGACCCACAGGTTGCGGGATCGAATCCCGGCTGCGTCGGCTGAATTTTTGATCGAGGCGCAAATGCTGCAGGCCCGTGTGCTCAGATTTGGGTGCACACTAAAGAACCCTAGGTGGTCAAAATTTCCAGAGTCTTTCACTACGGCTTTCTCATAATCATATGGTGGGTTTAGGACGTCGAACTCCACGTATCAATCAATTGAACTCGTGGCTTCATCACAGTCGGAGTGCGCATGAGTGAGTGAGTAACTCAAATATGAGTTATCAGAGGTCACTATCCAGTGAGGACATTTTTTTAAACTGAAAATTGCGACTTGCACAAGCTATCATTATCAAGAATTTCTCATGCAAATGTATGCAGGGAGAGCGCGTGGCACTTCTCCTAACTGACCCTTCCTATCAGTGAATGCTGAGGTGGCGCTTGTACTCTAGTTTGCGGAGGTACGTGCGAATAGGCACGAGTGTAAAAGTAAGCTGATGTAATGCTGATGGTAATCTTGAGGATGAGTAGATAGGACTGTAGGTGAGTAAAAAACGGGGGAGCTTGCTTTGATTCACTAAAGAAATACTATATTACGCACTCAAGACTTGCTCGGGCGGAGACTCTCCAAAAATTTGTACAACCAGACTGACTTGGACTCGCAAAAATTTTCTTCAACTGAACTCGCTTGGACTCTGCAAAATATTACATACCCGAGTTCATTCACTCAGACACAAGGCCCGATCGAAGTGAGCCTACTCATGAGCGAGTTTGCCGAGCTTTTTGAGAGTGTAACACTGCAGATGTTCTCTAATGTGAACAATAATAAAACCTTAAAAGTAGGCCTGTTTTAGGTCTTCCTGATTACTCACCTGATATAGTTAATTTAGTTATTTTGGAGCTATAAAATGCTGTAGGCCCATGTGCTCCGATTTCTGTGTGCGTTGACTTCTGTGTGCGTTGAAGAACCCCGGATGGTCGAAATTTCCGTAGACTTCTGTTACGGCGTGTCTCATAATCATATGGTGGTTTTGGGATGTTAGACCCCGCATATCAATCAGTAATTTTCGGAGCTACATATAAAGCCTTCCTGCTGCTCAATGTACAGGGTAATCTGTAAAAAAAAAAAAAAAAAGAAAAAAAACGAGAATGTGTTTTAAAAGCAGTAGTGCAGCAAAGGATTGACTATAAAAGTTGACATGAATGCATATAGTACTGCGTTCAATGCTTCACTTCTTTAGTACAATGATCAGAACAAGCTGTACTTTGCCTTCATTTAGTTGTCTCCCAGTGCCTTGCCATCATGCAGTACAACAAAGTGGGCTGCTGTTAGATGTAGCACTAATTGTTTGTTGCTGCCAACTTATCGGCACATGAAACATTCAGACTGCTTTTAAGCAGTGTGGGAACCCGCTGCACACTTGGCTTAAACTTTGGAGTCGCATTGCTTGGAAGCAAATAGCTAATTAATGATGCCAAAATTGTATGGGGTGAAATGCTTGTTAGGATAATTTAAGTGTGCCACAAATAAGCAAATGATTTGAATAAGAAAGCACTCCTCACACCAAGAAGCTCCTCACACGAAGAAGCTCGACTTATTCCTTGCTTTCAACCTGCAATGATCTTAGTTATGCTACTAAAATGCTATTTTTCCATCAATTCACTACTGTTTATGATTACTAGATTTCAGTTTCTTTTTTTTTTTAAACTGGGTCAGTAGTGATAATATCTGAAGTACATGACTCTGCAGTACTTAAAGATAAACTTGTGAACCACCTTTTTTCATGCTTTTTAAGGTAGCTACCGGTTGTCTAAGCTTCGTGGGGTGCCGCCCCAGTGCCGTGATTATGCTCTAAGCCATCACCATATGCTCTTCAGTGGCAACCTTATACTGTTTTTATAGCAAGACTGTTTGCTGGCCTAGTTTGTAATTAAAAACAAAATTTAGTCACTGATTAGAATACACACAAAGTGACGAACACAGTGACAGGACGAACGGCTCGTGCAAGTGTTTTGGGCGCTAACCCAGAAGTAAACAGACAGCATACATGTGCAGCCTCGTCGCAGCCTGGGCTCTGTGCACTGTTGAACACATCATTTGGCCTTCAAATGCATCATGCGCATTTATGCACGATTCTTGAGTGGACAACTTTTACTCGCTTTGCTCCATTCAGCTGCATATTGCTGCAGAGGATCGCTTTTGCTGAAGTCACTACGATGTTCGCGGTGCCACATTCCAGGATCAGTGCTGCATTTGTGGCTTGTGTTTGCTCGAAATTAATACACTAACTGGCAATAAATCATCCTATTTTGGGCCCAGATTTGATTATTGCTGCAGAAAAATAGAACGCGACTGACTTGAGACTAAATACATTTCTAATTATGCCCTAATTAGGATTGATTACTGATAACTGTACAAATCATCAAGGTGCTATTTTCTCTTTCTTCCTGTAGAGTATCAAGTGCTGTTGGATGTAGTGCAAATTGCGCAGATTGAGCCATTTCGCCATAATTCATACTTGAAGGGGATGTAGTCGAGCGCTGCATGTTGTCATTGCCAACCATTCCTCTACTCTTTCGCTCGGCTTTGCTCTGCGTTAAATACAGGATGTTTTATTACTCGTCGAAATGGCTGATTGAGCGAGTTGGTTAAGTTACACGCTCGTATTTCAAGCAAGCATGTTTTAAATCTGCTGTCAGTTATCTCGAAACATAAAGGGCTTGTATTCTGAAACTACCATGGAAGGCAAGAGTGCCACTTTTCGCGTCGAATCTGATGTCTCCAATAACTAAGTAAACTACTTGCCGGTGCTGTACAAGCGCATGGCAACTGCTAGCGAGGCGTTTTCGTGCATATAGGTACTGGCTTCCACACTGTGGCCAGGCTCGGTTTGGACTACTTGAAATGAGTTGAAAGTGCTTTCAATGTTTCTTCTGTAATTGTTTAAAGCACTGTATAATATTCAAAGGATGCAGCCTTCTGTGAAATGTATTTTTGTTGAGTTCAGCATGGCGTACTTGGAGAGTTCTGCTATGACGTAGTCTCGGCATGTTGCTAGTGCACCGTGTGAGAAATGGCCGGTTCATGGCTGCTGGCATGTTCAAATAACAAAAATCACCATCTTGCAAAACGATTTTTTAAATGCACGCTAAGGTAGTGCTCGCTGTTGTGCACATTAACCAAGGATTGCCGTTTAGAAGCTATAGTCTGTCACTGAAATGCTAGACTTCACCACCAAGTGATGGTTGTAAGGGGTGTTTGTTTATTCTAGACATGTCAAAGCACTGTGCAACACAGTCAAATTGACAGAAATATACCATATGGCGCCCTTACTTTTTCAGTTTTGCTCCATAGTGAATCGCACCAAAGGTGAAACTTTTGCAATTGTTGCCTTTTGCGATCATTTCACAATGCAGTCCCAGCACTATTCCCATCTTCTCCTTGGTCAACTAGTCTGAATATGCTACCAAATGTTTGGGACATGGATTCAGTAGCTCTTCTGTTCCACGCCGCGGTGTCCTTCAGATCCACCCAGCTTTTCTCGCATGCAGGAGCTCTTGCAGACAGAGCACCTGCCAGGGGGATGTACAGTGTACGGTACACATTTTGAGTTTGTTGAACTAGTGCAATTGAAAATTTCATTGAGGGCTTCAAATACTGCCCCCATGCTGACATGATCACAGCTCAGGGCAGCCACTAGCAAGCCTGAGAAGCATTGGGATTGTGAGTATTGTGAAGCTCTCAAGAAATGTGCAACTGTCAGTTGTGCTATTAGGTGCACCTCAACAGAATTTCAATTTTGTGTATACAAGCTTGTCCAGTCACGGTAATCTAGTGGCTAAGGTACTCGGCTGCTGACCCGCAGGTGGTGGGATCAAATCCCGGCTGGGGCGGCTGCATTTTCGAATGGAGGCGGGAATGCTGTAGGCCCGTGTGTTCAGATTTGGGTGCACGTTAAATAACACCAGGTGGCCGAAATTTCCAGAGCCCTCCACTATGGCCTCTCTCATGGTGGTTTTGGGGCCGCACATTAAACCCAACATATCAAATAATCATCAATGAGTATACAGGCTTCATTAACCTAGGAAACTCCAGTGTGTCAAAGCATTTACAATCATAAAGTTATTTCTCTAAGTAGGGCAGTATGATTTGGAACTCCTCTTGGTTAACGATTCTGTGTTTGACAACCTTGCTCTGCAGGCCCTCAGTGAAAAGACGAGCAGCGTGGACCAAGGGCCATCGCCTACAATTTGTTCCAGTGGTGAGCTCAATTCTTTGAGCAGATATCGAAAGTTTGAGAAAATAGGCGAAAACAAACGTTAAATATGTGTAGACCGAATAGTAGTTTCTTGAAACTGTGGTTGCAATAATGTTGCTGTTGAAGCTGGAGGCTCTTTTCACTTCACGCTTTTGTGACCGAAAAATAGCGTGTTGCATAATAAAAAAAGAAAAAAGGAGCATATTTGATATTTCTCCACTATTTCGTTACATTGGGTTTTATACTCTTTTGGAGCAAAAATTTGTCAATTTTATCTGCAAAGCGTCAAACATGTGATTGTTTAAAGAATGAGTGGAGCGACACATATCTGTGATCACTGAGCCACAGAGTATTGCTTGCACTCATAGCCACAATTTCGCATGTTATGCACTAGAAACTTTGAAATGCACAATAAGCCATTTAGGGTATTCAAAGCTTGTCATTGGGTATTCAAAACATGTCAAGTTTGAATACGTGATGCATGTAAACAGCATCTGTAGAAATCATCTTAGATCAAAGATAATGACTCTGCAAAATGAGGAAAGAGACCTTTATTATCACTTCTTTCATAGCTAACAGCATAACCTGCCAAGAGTTCAACGAACCGCAGAACAAACCCAGAGGATGAGTTGCAATTGCCAACAGTGAATTACTTTCGTCAAGTTTAGTGCATATTTTATGTGGGTTACAAGCGTTAAATACAGTATGCTATAATTCAAGTGGGTTGGTTGATCATTGGAGAACAAAAAAAGTCACAGCTTTGCCGCAAAGGCGAAGCATTGATTGTGATAGCAATAAATTAATGAATTTGAAGGTCACTCGAAGAATGGCTAGCAGATTGAAACGCGCCCTGTGTTTCGATCTTGGCAGTGGCACGAGAAATCGGGTCGCAAAGTTCAAAGTGCTTTGTTCTAATATTAGAAAAGAAAGCAAAACGCAACTGTAAACAAAGCCACGAATGTGTTTGAAACCTGCAAGCAGGAAGGCTAGACAAATATGTGTACTACGCATCATTCCCCATGGTCGCTGAATGAGCGCTGCACCAGAGTCCTCTCTAGTTAATTTAAGGAAACTCTATGCGTGGTAGTCCAAAACAAGATTGCTCGCAGTGAATATGGGTGCTTGATGTGATAAACAATGATAGAACGAGGAACATTGCTGAACTGAACGTTTTGTCTTCAACAAGGCAGCGGACAAGACCCCAACGTTTTATGTTCTACCACTGCTCATCATCACTTGTATTTACGAAAAAGTGTTATGTAAAACCCAAGATTGTTGCCCTCAGCATATTTCTAGGCTTGGGTGAATATTCAAATGCTTTGAATATTTGAAGAAATAATGTAGTATTTGAATTCACTTTGAATATAAATTATTGAAAATTTCAAATTATTCAAGACGAACAAATAGGTGCATATTAATCCACGTGTAACATTCTGTGGAAGTGGTTTCACCGCAGTGGAGGGGTGCAAAGCTGTGAAAGCATCTTTCTAGGTATACATTAGTTCACATGTTGTATAGTTTCCTAAATATACACTTGAAGGAGCTCTGGCGCTAGTGTGTATACGAGCTGTAATGCACGGCTCTTCAGGGAGCAGGGGAATGATAGGTAGTACAGGGATTTGTCTAATCTTCGTACATCAGGCTTTTTTTAGGTTTGCGTGGCTTAAAGCTGTTTTTCTATGAAACAAAAATCTGCAAATGTTCAGCAGTTGCGCTTCAACACCTTATTATTTTAGGATTAAGATTTCAAATCTGGTCCCAAAGCTCAAAAGCGTTCGTTTTGTCCTTCAAAACAAAACCGAAACATAGTAATAAACGAAGCCACAAGTGCGATCCGCCGCCCGCAAGTATGAAGACTAGGCAAATCTGTGCACTACCCATCATTCCCATGGTTTCTGATCGATCGTAGTGCCAGAGTCCCGTCTAGTTAATTTTGGGAAACTCCATGTCACATGTAACTTTTTGTAAAAGTAGCTTCACTGCTGTGAAGTGGTGCGTGAAAACACGTATTCAGGAGAAAGGCATACTGGCGCGAAGCCCCACGTCAAGGTTATATGAAGATATTTTCCTCACATTTATTCATTTTTTTCATTTTCAGTTTAAAAGCTTTTTATACCAGCTTATAGACTCTAAGTATAGCAAATTTCAAAACTTAACATATTTTACAGGCTTTCACTTACATTTTATGGAAAGTCAAATTCTGCTACTATTCAAAGTTGTTTCTATTTCCTTTGATGCAAAGAAAATGGCATTTGCACAGGCTTTGTTTGAATTTTCAAGAAATATCGTGCAGGTTAGTTTAGTCATGGCAAATGTGCCCCTCTTTCTTTACAATACTATGTGATATATATACACTATTCCAATTAGCTTCAAAATTATTCGACCAATTCACTTTTTGCCCAAGCCAACATATTTGGTGCACCACAGTTGCTACTATTCTTGAAGGCCATGCCAAGGAGTCGTTGTCGTTACTAAATTAAAATTCTGGGTTCGTTGACCTCTACAAGGATATCTCGGCAGCAGCTTTCTCCTCATTTATTGAAACTGCCTTTTTTTTTTTTCATGACTACTTTGAGAAATATGTCATCATTGATCTATTGCAGCAGATGGGACCAAGCTGCGCCCTGTGGAAGTTCACAGTGCCACAGCACGAACATGCCTGAATGTGCCACGTCCCGAACCTGTTGTGCCGGTTCCAGAGGACATTCCTCAGGTGAGGTGTATCGTTACCGCAATTAAAAAAGACTCACAAGATCCTTAGTGTATTCACTTAAATGACTTGCTGAAAGCCATCTCGTTTTTTCTGCTGGGTTGATGTATAAGGGGGCAGGGAGCACGAGCTGTGGCCTCATGGGCCACTGCCAAGCTCCTTCTGTATTTTCTTCGCTTGAGGACTCGCGATGTCCGGTATCGTCTGCCGCCAAAAGAATTGCTATTGCGCTACAGCGGCATCGTCTGGCGTTACTTCTAATGATGTCGCGCCAGAATTTGTGCCACATGGTGTTGTGATCACGTGATAATGATACTTTTTGCATCACTCGTAACAGATTCTGAAGAACAGCCACTGCCACTAGTCAAATTTCATGTTTGAATAGGTGTCTAAGGCTTTTATTTCAGGACAACCGCTCTGCTTGTGTTCTCTTAATCCGTTCATTATTATTTACGGATATGTAGCTTTCCTGTCCTGGATGTAGCGTCAGAAGAACTGCCAGCGACATCACTGGAGGCTTGCGTGCCTGTGTAGGGAGAGCGATAAATGATGTTTAAATGGTCACCTACTACAGTTCTTGGGGTACTTAAACTTTAACTTCCTCAGTCTTTGTGACCCTATTTGGGGTCATTGATTTGAGCGAGCACACCTAATAGTGGGGTAAATGTATATATTTTTTTAATCTTCAATGTGAATTTTTCGTGCAAAGATTATTACTTTATGCTCAACGTCATTTTGGGCACCTGTGGTGCATAACCGGTTTTAATATGCCATTTTCCAGCAGACATAACTTTAATCTCATCACGGTTAGTAATTATCTCTTTCTTTAGGCTCTCATGGTTCATTTTTACTCAGTGTAGGTGACAGCACTACTGAAAAGCACTACTGATTAATTTTTACATATAATCTGTGTTTGAAATTGCAGTTAGCAGCTGCTTGAAATAAATAATGTAATTCCATTTAAATAAAGTGAAGCAACAAGTTTTTCAGTTTTTTAGTTATTGTGAATCCTAAGTAAACATTCAGCAATTTTTTGTATGGCCAAGAGCAAAATAAGGGTTTAAAATAAGTGTTTAAAAATATTTCCTTCTTGGGACTGGAGTATTTACTGCTGTCTCTTCTGTAGACAAACTGTGCTCCCTCACACTGAAACGTCAACTAGCATGGTGCCACATTCGAGCTACCCTAACTCGTATGGCTCGGTTCTCTTTTGATTCGACAGGCAGTGCACGAAAAATGTTATGATGCACTTGTAGCATTCATTTGAGCTGTGAAACTGTTGAACCGTAGCTAACTGGAGTTAAAAGCTTGCAAAATACGTAAGCTTTGTGTTTGAGTGCAACGAGATGGCATTCTGGGCCTCGTTGTATTTTCTGCCGGTGCACTAGCCATGCTTCATTTCTGAGTGGTCTAGTGGTCGTGGTGCCAGACTTCCAACTTCCGGGACGCGGGATCATATCCTGGCTGTGGCGGCTGCATTTTAGATGGAGGCAAAAGCGCTTGAAGCCCAAGTACTTTCATTTACTAGGTGCCCTGTTTGTTGAAATTTGCCCCGGTGCGGTGGTCTAGTGGCTAAGGTACTCTGCTACTGACCCGCAGGTCGCTGGATTGAATCCCGGCTGTGGCGGCTGCATTTCCAATGGAGGCGGAAATGCTGTAGGCCCGTGTGCTCAGATTTGGGCACCCAATAAAGAACACCAGGTGGTCGAAATTTCCGGAGACCTCCACTACGGCGTCTCTCATAATCATATGGTGGTTTCTGGACATTAAACTTCACATGTCAATCAATGTTTGCCCAAATTTCCGGAGTTCATTATTATGGCATCCCATATATTCTTGCTGTGGTTTAAACATGATAGCGCTAAAGAGCACATTTCGCGAAAATTCGGGTGTCAGTGTGAGCGTCGTTGGTGGCAAGCAAAAAATATTGTGCGTGACCAAAAAATGAAAGAAGATGCAAATAAAATAAGTAATACAAATTTCCGGTTCTGAGTGAGGATCAAACGAGGGTGGCAAGCAGGTGTTCTACCACAAAGCCACAAGATTTGTTGAAACTGCTTTGGAAAAAGGCACTATGTATGTTGTGTAAGGGAAAGAGATTCCTTAACACATTATATATTGTGTGGGAGAAGTTGGAATTGTGCCAGGCATTGGAAGATGTGAATTGAGCAAAGAGTGGGTATTCTAAAAGCCCATTCATTGCAAAGCACTCAGACATATGTACTCAGTCGTCATCAGCACCAAAACCATAGACAAGTGAACAGCTGCGGCGTGTTGCTCTATGGACATGTGGGGGCACCTTCGCTGATTGAAAAAGAAATATTAATTACGTAGTGTACTTGCAAAATGCATTCAGTGATGCCTTGAAACCGCCAATGTTACGCGCACAGTTGTTCATTGCCTTGCGACACTACTGAGATATGCACGAAGTATTGAAACGGGTCAACAGTTCAGCAGGAGATGGGTGGGAGGCCCAATCACACTGTTGTGCCTTACTCTTGAAGGTGAAGCTAAAGTATCCTTGAATTTTGGGGGCATAAAATTCCAACTGATATTACTGGTTGTCAAGCACCTTCGTGTGTCTGCTTGTCGGCGTCAAGCGTTGTCGTGGCGCATCAAGTCATGGTCCATCGTGAAGAGGGTGCTTGCCACGAAACTTAGCTAAATTCCACTACTCGCGACCGGTTCGACGAAAATGAAGGCAACAGTTAGCCCAACAAGTAGCCGATGACTTTAGCGCAGCAGCAACTTCCTTCCCTGCATGCCCAGTTTCAGGCTTTGTGCCACTAGTGCCTCATCAAAGCAATCTCTCAAAATGGTGCACGCTTCACCCCTCCCCAGGTTTCGTGTTAGTCGAGCTCAAACACCCTTCTCTGCATGCTTTGTTTCTCCTCGGTTTTCTTTATTATTATCCCTTCTCGGTGTACACATCGGCCACTACACGGGTAAAGGGAATCGACGATTTTTTGTTTATGAACAACTCCGCAGACACCTAAATTTTGGCGACACAGGCTCTGTTTGGCGCATTGCATTGAAAATTCCATCCTCCATGCATGCGTGGCGCATGCATTTAAGACACAGCTGTGTTCAGAATGAAATAACAAAACTACAGTCTCTTGTCGAGGCTTCCTCAAACTTGCATAGTGAAAAAGCGCCTCTGTACGCCAAATGTGGCAGCAACACAGACCGACACGTCCCGCCGCGATGGTCTAGTGGCTAAGGTACTCGGCTGCTGACCCGGAGGCCGCAGGATTGAATCCCGGCTGCGGCGGTTTCATTTCCGATGAAGGTGGAAATGTTGCAGGCCCGTGTGCTCAGATTTGGGTGCATGTTAAAGAACCCCAGGAGAGACCCACAACCTAAGGCGCTTCACCCCTAAAACCTGTAATATTCCCTTCTGCATGCTCAGGTTATAAAATCCGTAAAAAACTGAATGTTGTATGACAATGATGAAGGTTGGGGTATTTCTTTAGAAGTCTTCTTACTTAGTACTTTTGTTTCAGGCCGAGTGCATATGTCTGAAAATGTGGGATATGCATAAAACCATGCATCGCTTACATGATCTGTGTCATTGTTTTAAGGTTTCACAGACACGAAGGTCGTCTTCGTAATCCGTGAAGTGTCGTTTTCAGCTACTGCGATGATATTATATTTGGCAATACTGACGTTCACCGCCAGGTCTTGATGAAATTCAGATATCATTCAAGCAGCAGGGTATCGGTCTCGCTTTTATTCACGAAGTCCCTTAAATGAACTAGCTCCAGCTTCTAGACCCACGACTTCCTTCGGTGAAAATTATGCGTGCTGGAATGAGCCCTCTAGTACGGCGTCTCTCATAATCATATGGGGTTTTTGGGATGTTAAACCCCACATATTAACCAAATCAACGTAGACCGGCATATCTTTCATCATTGGATTGGAGGAGGATTCAAGATGATTGTGTGTGTGAGGCCCCGCCGTGGTGGTCTAGTGGCTAAGGTACTCGACTGCTGACCTGCTGGTCACTGTGTTGAATCCCGGCTGCGGCGGCTTCATTTCCGATGAAGGTGGAAATGTTGCAGGCCCGTGTGCTCAGATTTGGGTGCATGTTAAAGAACCCCAGGACAGACCCACAACCTAAGGCGCTTCACCCCTAAAACCTGTAATATTCCCTTCTGCATGCTCAGGTTATAAAATGTGTAAAAAACTGAACGTTGTATGACAATAATGAAGGTTGGGGTATTTCTTTAGAAGTCTTTTTACTTAGAAAGTACTTTTGTTTCACGCCAAGTGCATATGTCTGAAAATGTGGGATTTGCATAAAACCATGCATCGCTTACATGATCTGTGACATTGTTTTAAGGTTTCACAGACAGGAAGGTCGTCTTCGTAATCCGTGAAGTGTCGTTTTTAGCTACTTCGATGATATTGTTATATTTGACAATACTGACGTTCACCGCCAAGGTCTTGATGAAATTCAAATATCATTCAGGCAGCAGGGTATGGGTCTCGCTTTTATTCACGAAGTCCCTTAAATGAACTAGCTAACGCTTCTAGACCCACGACTTCCTTCGGTGAAAATTATGCGTGCTGGAATGAGCCCTCCACTACGGCGTCTCTCATAATCATATGGGGTTTTTGGGATGTTAAACCCCACATATTAACCAAATCGACGTAGACCGGCATATCTTTCATCATTGGATTGGACGAGGATTCAAGATGATTGTGTGTGTGAGGCCCCGCCGTGGTGGTCTAGTGGCTAAGGTACTCGACTGCTGACCTGCTGGTCACGGTGTCGAATCGCGGCTGCAGCGACTGCATTTTCGATGGAGGGGAAAATGCTGAGACCGTGTGCTCCGATTTGGGTTCACGTTAAGAAAACGTAGGGGGTGGAAATTTCAGAGCCCTCCACTACGGCGTGTTCATAATCATATGGAGGTTTTGAAATATGAAACCTGAATACAATAATTCGGTGTGTGTGTGTGTGTGGTGTGTAAACATTCCACTCGACGGTTGTAGTGGTTTCGGTGCTAGACTGCTGGCCCAAAGTAGTGGGTTGGAATCCTAAAATTGGCAATTAATTCGCTATTGTAGTGTTTTGTTACAGTGAAATTTATATGTCTCGGTGACATTTTCTGTAATGTGCAGTGTCAGATTCACGAGTTAAGAATCGGTATATCTTTATTGTGTGATGTTGGTTTGGAAGTTCACCTTGCTGTTTTCAAGACTGCCTCTGTGCTGCTTGTGCAGAGTCCTGAAGAGAAGGCTGGCGACCTTTCCATGGAAGTGATGCACAACAAGCTCGATTGCTCAGGTAGGCTGACTTCTGTAGCAAGGCCTTGTGCAACTTCTTTCAAATAAAATAAACATCCAGACCACATTGATGGGGGACTCTAAACAAAAGCGTCCACGTGTCAGGTCTTCGAATTTCCGCTAAGGTAGTCTCTGTGGCTTTTTTTTTTTTCAATGGGAAACTGTTCAGCAAATCATTCCTTGTCCGATGAACTAAAAAGCTATTGTAAATCCTAACTATTCACCACTGGTCCACTAAAATTAAGGCAACACTTAGCCAAACAACAAATGGCTGTGAAGCGAGGGCGGTGAGCCAAGGATGAGATAATACTAGGTACTGGGAAAAACATTGGCAGCTGCGAGAAGGCTCCAAAGTGACGTTGGTCTACGCCGATGATGATGTGCCCGTGTCGTGTCTGTCACTGTCTGCGGTTTAAATCGAAACTGCTTTGAGCTAAAAATCGACGAAATAACGACCTAGCTAAAGCCTAGCAACAACTTAAAAGCAGCCTATAAGCTGCATCACTTATAGCTAAGGCCTATAAAGACCACCTAGAAGCTACCTGATCAATCTTCAGAAATCGTGCACGTCCAGTTTCGCTGTGCAAGGCTTTCCGTGGCTGAATGCATGCTGTTGCTTTTTTTGGGGGGCACTTTTTGGCCTGCTTTCACCTTATGACTTTACGGCCATAAGTGTGTCTCATGGAGTCGGCAAACCATTATATGCACCCAGTGTCTATTATAGAGTCATCGAGGGTGGGGGGGGGGGGGGGGAGAGGGGTTAAGTCTAGTGTTTTCTGTGAAGCTGATTATTCAGTGAGGTAGAGGCGCTAGCTGATTCCGATGAACCAATGTGACGTAGCCTCGAACATTTCAGCCATGCATTGCTTGCATAAGTTGACAGCGAGGACAGTTATAATACACTGTACTGTTGTTCACTATCGCTCATTAAAGTACCTAACCAAAGGAGATTTTTGGCGCGTATAACCCGCACCAAAAACCCAAAATTTCAGTGGAAAAGTGGAGGTGAGGATAATACGCGGGGTTTTTCTATAGTGCTGCTTCCCAGCACTGCGTGTTGTGCTGTGAAGCCCTTAACAGTGTAGCCAAGGCCTACGTAGGCGGTTCCGCAAATTCGTGTTGCTCCGCAAATAGCACGGCAGCTTGCGGCCGATTTTGGTTTCGCTTGCTTGCATCGTTGAAGCGTTCAGAAAAACATTTGGGGAGAGACAATTTGATTTCAGTGTAAAATCTCACTGTCACACCACAAGTATCATTTTTGGACGTTTTGCGGGCACTCGTGACCCCTCCTCATGTCCCTAGTCACGGACGCCATGTTACGTTTGGAAAGGGCTTGCCGTAATGTGTGTCGCTCTCTAAGAAAGTTCTATAATTATTAAAGTTCCATAATGACTAAAGCAGTATTATTCAGCTAGGCAAATGAGATATATTAGTGCTATAGAGATATTATCAGTAAATTAATCTACTACTTTTTGACGCGGTAGCAGGCATGCATTTCGGTTCTGTTGTTTCCAGGGTGCTGTTACAGTGTACTAGAAGGGGTAGTGCTGCCAAGTTGTCGCCGAGTGTGAGCGCTCTTTACCTCGCTGATGCCGCTAGTTCTCCACATCTCGACCCGTTCGCCAAGCCTAAGTCGATCTGTTCCGTCACCATGAGTAGCGTACGGCGGCAGGCCTTCACGACACAGCAAAAGCTTAAGATCAGTCGTCGCCGAGGAATTCGGAAATCGCGCAGCGGGAAGACGGCACGATGTGGACGAGTCCTGCGTGAGACTGTGAAGAAGGAAGAAAGAGGGCCTACAAGCCGCGCACCGCGACCGTAGGTCATTTCGTGGCCCCAAGACCGGTGCCTACCCTTAGCTGGAGGAGGAGCTAGTAATGTTCATCGAAGATGTGAGAAGCAGGGGTCACGCCGTATCGACTGAGATGGCCTAAGTGGAAGCGCAGAGACTTTTGAGGGAGCTAGTCCTACCTCAGGAGTTCCGTGCGAGCCGCGGATGGCTGCACCGCTTTATGAAGCGGCAAGGGCTCTCAATCAGACGGCGGACTACAATATGTCAACGCTTGCTGGCTTCTTATAAGGAGAAGCTGCTCAAGTACCAGAGATATGTAATTGGCCTGAGAAAGCGGCACAATTACATTTTCTCGCAAATCGGCAATGCGAATGAAACTCCTGTTTATTTTGAAATGCCAGTGGACACGATTGAGAAGACGGGCAGCAGTTCGGTGAGCGTGCTGACCGGCGGGAACGCGAAACTGCGCATCACAGTCTTGCTTTGAGCCCTCGCTGACGGCACGCAACTGTGACCGTAGTACATCTTGAAAATGAACTCTACCAAAGGTTCATTGTGCCCGTGTGGTGGTGCGTGCACACGAGAACGCGTGGATGAACAGTGACTTGTTCGTAGCCTGGATCAAGACGGTATGGGAGAAGAGGCCCGATGCGATGCTTGCAAAGAGGTCCATGCTCGTTCTTGACTCCTTTTATGGCCACACAACTGAGGAAGTAAAGCGCCGCCTTTCACGCAACGGCAGCGACTTAGTTCTTATACCGGTGGAATATCGTCAATGTTGCAGCCTCTGGATGTGCCGCTTAACAAGCCCTTCAAAGCGCATGTTAAGCGCTATTACGCCGAGTGAATGGCCGAAGGCTGCTACGACTTGACACCGACAGGACGAGTCCGAAGGCCTGATATTGCCCTATTCTGCAAGTGGATTGTCGAGGCATGGTAGGCCATTCCAAGTGATGGTGCGAAAAAGTTTCAAGAAACGCTGCACCACAAACAACATAGATTTAACCGAAAATGACCTTGTGCATAATAGTGAGGACTGCGGCTCAAGTGATAGCTCTAGCAAGAGCAGCGACAGTGAGTGAAATGTGACTGGCCTTGCAGACAGTGTATTCCGCTTGCTAATAAAGCTTTTTCTGTCTACATATGTGCTATGTGCTTCTTCTTCTTTTTTTTTTTTTGTTGCAGAGTCTGTTGTACAATTTTATGGTCACCTGCTGCGATTTTCGTGGCTTACGGATTCTTTTTCCCAGCAAATAGTAGTCAATTTGGTGATCATCCACAATCACCAGTAACCATTTGCTTGATCACTTTATGTAGTGAGGTGTAGAAGTTAAACATACGTTGAGGGAATCGACAAATAATGTTAACCATGCACTGGCAAACACGCTTCCAAACAAATGGAGAGAATCTTGAAGGCAATGTTAAAAGGTAAATACAATTTTTATTCATAGTTGCACATATTTTAACTGTAGAAAATGGAATTTTTTTTCAACTGTCTATGGTACTTCAGTGACAATTTTTTATTATGAATATATTCCCTACAGTGAGAAAAATTCAAATTGTCGTTTATTTTGGGCTTCTTTGCAAAAGTTGTGCCATTTTTTTCGTAGCTTCTTTCCTGCTGATGTGCTTTTTTACCACGGTAGCATCTTGCAACTATCTGGTGTCCACATAAGGCCGTTGCAAGAGAAATGAAATCATTCGCTAGGTGGGTTTTCCAAATGGGAAGCTGTATGCGTTTCCATTTAAAGAATTCATCGCATGAGATGTGCATGCGGTGAAAATTCTGTGCTCAACATGGATATTGTGTAGAGGTTCCAGCAGACAATACTTGTGTTCCTATATTTAGTGAAACCTTGAAAGCTATGGCTCATTCATGTGAAGGTAATGTCAGCAATGGTATGCCAAGGCTAACGATCTCATGGGGACTATGTAGCTTTTATTTAGTAATTAGCCGAGCCTTCTGAACAGCTCAGCGGAGCGATTTGATCTTACAGGCATATTTTAGATGAATATAGGCACTTTTCGGCTCAATCCGTGGACCTGCTTTCTGTCAACGCAGTCGTAGAAATCCTACAATACGAGCCACATTAGAACTTTGATGTAATTGATAAACATGCGAGTTTGTGGCTAAGTAATGTGCACATTTTGATTTACATCAACTCTGGATCATGTGTTGTCTGTGCTACTTTGGCTTGCACACTGATAAATCGGCCCATTTCACCTTTTGTGATTCCATTCTTCGCACCGAAAAATTGTGCTTGCTTCGTTGCATGTATGGAGTGCTCTGGCTAATGTTTTCTGCAAAATAAACTTTTTAAAAATGGCTTATGCACTGTAGGGTTTTGTGGGATTGCGTGAGGCATTTGCTTTCCCACGTGTTTTATTGATGGCAACCACAGACGCTGTTGTTCCTGCAGCGTCTTCTTCTTCAAGTGCTAGGCTCAAACAGGCTTCGCAGCAACAGAAGGTCACCAGGTACTCATAAGGATTGCTTCTTCGCACACTGGCTACCTCGCTAGAAGGGGCCCTGCAGCGAGCAGTTAGCATCTAGGAGAGGACGACAAAGTTGAGCCTCAGCTGCTCCAAACATTCAAGCCTAGCCTGAGATAAGAAGACGTCCGCAAGAACGACATTGTCTGGGGTGTTCCATCGCAAGACAAGCATCGATAGAACATGTGGGGAAGCCAACGTCTCGAGTTTTCCCGCTAGTGGTGACTCGTGCGTGATGCGAACCCGCAACCTTCGGACATACAGTAGACTCTCAATAAATGGAACCTGAAGGGACCGGGAAAATATGTTTCATTTAACACGAGTTCCGTTTACTGAAAGGTGAACATGGGTGCAGAATACAAGCCTAAAACCAAGTACTGCAGAGGGAATAGTTCAGTTTAAGCAGTAGTTCTGTTTAACAGATTTCCACTTAGTGAGAGTCTACTGTAGTTTGAATAAACGATACGATGACATAGTTCAACGATTCCAACATGCAACCTTTGTGATGCAGGGTAAGCTTGAATGTCGCATGTCCGTTTTTGACATGTTGCTAAAGCACTCGCCTTCACATTTGGCTGCCTGCAGATGAGCTTTGTGTGCTGTCAGAGGAGCCTCTAGCTGTGGCTGATGACGCTGTGGAAGACAGCTGGCTGTCTTCAATCGCTGCGCCTGGCATGGACCGTCTTGGCGGAGGTGCGTCTCTGCGGTTCTGGTGTTGGCTTTACTTCAGAGCTCGATATTGTGCCACTCTTATACCTGACATTACGGCCTTCTGGTGCAGAAATCGGTTAGATTAAAAATGCATTAGCTTGAAGGTAAATGCGAGATAAAATACGATAGCATTACAATGGGGAACAAGGGGTGAGGCTTATAATAATACAGTGAAACCTCATTAAACCGTAGTTGGCCGGAGCTCGGAAAAAGTACGTACTAAACGGTAGGACTGCTTAACCTTAACCGAAATAGCGTCAGGTCGCTCACTTACCTGTCAAAAAAAAGAAACCTTCAGGGAGTGCGATGAAAGAACAAAAAACGTGCAGTAATTTATTAACTTCGCGTGACAGTCTGTAATCTTCATTTGACGAAGCGGCGGCGGCATAGCAGCGACGACAGCGGCCTCAAACTCACTTATGCTGCTAGCCAGCTTTTCCGCCAGCCCCCTCTTCTCGGCAAATACCCGCATGACGCTGACGCAATGCGCAGCTTCGGCCTCTGTCGGACCTGGATCAACCGTGTTGTCGCATTCCATGTCGTCCTCATCAATATCATTTGGCAACACTTCGACAACCGAGGCAACAACGGCTTCGTCGGACATGTCCGGAGATGTCTGCACATCGCTGTCTGCGTCTCTGAAGTCGGAGAAGGAAATGCCTTCCGTAACGCCCTGCCGCTCCAGCACTTCAGCTAGCAGAGTTTTGCAAGGTTCGTCTACGATCTCTGAAGTCTGGTCGATGGTGTCACTGGCGTCATCTGCGACGCCCGCACACACACTGAAGCCAGCACGCTTGAAGCAATTTTAAACTGTCGTTGCTTCAACCTGCCGCCACGAGTACGAGTATTCGAGCAGGGGAATCGCGCCAATCAGGTCGATGGAGAATAATTTGCCACATTCAATGGCGAGAAGAAATCTGCGCAGCAGATTCTTCTTGTAGAGCTGTTTTACAGCTCGTATGATGCCTTGGTCCAAGGACTGGACAATCGCTGTTGTGTTTGGTGGCAGAAACGCCAACTTCACAGTCGTCAGGTTGTCCAGGGCGACGTGCGCCGAAGCGTTGTCAAAAATAACTCTTCTGTTCTTAGCCGCGAAACGACGATCGATGAGGTGCACGTACTCCTCGAAGAGTTTTGCCGTCATCCATGCTTTGGTGTTCCTACGACAGATGACCCCTGATGGTAACCCGGCGCCTTTGAAACATCTAGGCTTTCGCCGACTTTCCAATCACGAGGAGCGGAGGTTTGTCGGTTCCAGTCATATTTACGCAAAACGCCACTGATATTCTGTCTTTTGCATGCTTGCCGCCGGTGCACATCTCGCTTTTGAACGCGAGCGTTTTGTCTGGTAGCAGCTTAAAGAATCGCTCCGATTCATCCATATTAAAGATGTCATCAGGTGCGTAGTCTTCCAAGATGTTCTTCTGCTGACCATTTTGCCACTGCTTCGCGCCATCCACGTCAGCAGCAGCACCTTTTCCCGAAACAGTCCTCGTGGTAATGCCGTGCGTCGCCTTAAATCTGGCCAGCCAGCCATTGCTGCACACGAAGTTGTCATGGTCGAGCTGCGAGGCGAAAACCAGGGCCTTCTTCACCAGCAGGGGTTCGCTGATAGGCACGATTTTTTGACCGTGCAGTTTTTAGCCACTTCACCAGCACCTCCTCTACATCCGAAAACGCAGAACTGCGTAGCCGGCACCTTTTCGCAGTTGCAGCAGCACTGCCGAACAACTTCTCTCTTGAATTCCAAATTCCACACACCGTAGTTAACGGCAGGTCCTTTTTCGTTCCACTTTCAATAGCACGAATTATGTCCAATTTCTCCTCTATTTTCAGCGTTCGATGCTTTTGTCCCAGCTTCGGCATGATGCAAGTACGAAGCAGCACAAGCACACATACACAACACGTGAAAAACGACGCGAGAGCTGTACGACACTGGATCAACCGGAGAACACCTATGCACGGCGCCAAAGGAACGATGAAAGCAAACCAAGCGCACACCGTGTTTGGATGGATGAATATGGCTGTACCCTTTAGATCGGGCAGTAGCTAGCGCCCCCAAGCCGTAACATTTAATGAACCAAAAACTAGGTTTATTTTTTTCTTTAAATAGTGGGGTTGAGGATTCGTACTATGCAGTGAAGGGTTTAATTTTCACTCGTGCCTTGACTTTAGCCACCAATCAGATAACCTCCTTCTATTAATTCTACCTGCTTAGTCTATTTTGCCCTCCCTGTCCCTAAACTCCAGTGCTTTGAAAAACTCTGCGCCATCATTCTGAACTATACGGTGAAGCCCTTTACAGAACATTATCAAGTGTTCGGCAGTTTCTTCTTCCTCTCCACACGCACTGCATACCATGTCTACCCCTTTGTATTCGGCCCGATATGTCTTGGTTCGCAATACTCCCGTCCTGGCCTGAAACAGTAGAGAGCTACCCCGAGTATTATCATATATCCTTTCCTTAGCAATTTCCTGCTTGAAGGTTCGATAGATCTCTAGTGCGGACTTCTTAATCATGCCTATTCTCCACATATCGGTCTCGGCTTCCTTCACCTTCTTCTTAACCGATAGTTCTTTTTGGTTTGGCCCCCTGCTGTTTTTCAAGTATTTACCAGTCGATTTTCTGGTTTGCTTCCTCCATTTTGTATCGACATTCTTCATGTACAAGTAGCTGAATACCTTCCTAGACCAACGCTCCTCCCCCATTTCTCTCAATCACTTCTCAACATTTATCTTGCTGCTAGCTTCCCTGCCCTCAAATGATGTCCATCCCATATCACCTTGTACTCCCTGATTTGGTGTATTCCCGTGAGCTCCTAAGGCAAGCCTACCTATTCCACGTTGCTTAATTTCTAATCTTCCTTGAACTTCTGATCTCATGCACAAGACCGCATTGCCGAACGTCAGACCAGGAACTATGACGCCTTTCCATATTCCTCTCACAACATCATGCCTATTGTAATTCCACAGTGCCCTGTTTTTCATTACCGCTGCATTCCTGTTACTTTTAGTCGTCGCGTATATTTCGTTTTCCCTTAGGTACTCGGCCCCATTGCTTATCCCAGATATTTGTATTTATCCGTTATCTCTAGCGTAACCTGTATTCTAAGCTCACTACCTTCATTATCATTAAAAATCATGACTGCTGATTTTTCCTTATGAATCTGAAATTTAACCTATCTCCTTCATTATCGTACATGTCCATCAACCTCTGCAAATCTTCCTTGTTGTCGGCCATTAACACCAAATCATCTGCGTACATCAATGCTGGCAGTGCCTGTTCCATTAGTTTTCTTTGTTTGATGAGAGAGGTTGAAGCCCAGTCCACTTCCCTCTAATTCGGCCTCTAATCCTTGTAGGTACATCATGAATAGTAAGGGTGACAGGGGACACCCCTGCCTAAGCCCCCGTTTTACTTCTGCAGGCTTATATACCCGTTTTTCCCACTTTATAACTACCTTGTTACCTCTATAGATATCCTTTAAAAGATTAGTGACTCTACCTTCCACGCCTAGTGTGTCCAGTATTTCCCATGATTCCTCTTGAACCACGCTATCGTACGCTCCCTTGATATTCAAAACTGCTAGCCACAGGGTCCTGTGTTCCTTTTCTGCTATTTCGATGCACTGCATCAGGGAGAACTGATTGCCTTCCAACCAACTGGGTTTCCAAAACCCATTCTGCAGTTCCCCCAGCACCTCTTATCCTCTATCCATGCCTGGAGTCTTTTTTTTATAATCTGCATCGCCAGCCTGTAGACCACTGATGTCACTGATATAGGACGGTAGGTGTTTATGTCAGTTTTGTCTCCCTTTCCTTTATAGACCATGCTTATCCTGCTAAGCTTATGCCAGCTTTGTCCCCCTTTTTTTTATAGACCATGCTCATCCTGCTAAGTTTCTATTCATTGGGGACTTCACCATCGATTATTTTTTTTCTCACTGCCTTTCTGAAAGCCTGCTTAGACTTCGAACCTAATGTCCTTATCAGCATGATTGGCATGCCATCTGGGCCTGTTGATGTACTACTAGGAACCCTCTTCTCAGCTCTTTCCCACTCTCGTGAAAATGGAGCCATTGCGCCACTTGATTCATCCTTGTCTATTGTGGTGCATAAAGCACTTCATTGTTGAAATTTTTCTGTCACCCTTGTTCTTATATATTCAATAGCTTCGTCTTCTAGCCTAGCACCATGAGCTGTAGTTGTAAATCTCTGCTCTAGGCTAGTCTCCTTTCTTAGGAGTTTAGGTGGTTCCAAATTTCACAGATGCCTTTCCATCTTTTTGATGTACTTCTGCCAACCACTGAGCTCCCTTTCTTCTAATCTTTTCATTGATCAGAAGGGATGCATCCCTTCTACAGCTTAGAAAGATTTCCCATTTTTTTTCAACATCATCTGTCGGTTCACCCCGCTGCTTAGCATGTCTGTGTTCACTAGAGGCTTCCTGACGTTTTGCTATGGCTCTCTTAACTTCCTCATCCCACCAACTTTTGGGATTGTGTCTTCTTTTCCGGGGTGACTTGTCACGTGCCCTAACAAGCTCTAGCTCAAACAGTCTAGTTAGATTCGTGTATGTCCAAACTGTTTGATTTTTCTCAGTGATTACTTTCTAAATTTGTTTAGTGGCGATTTCAATTTGCCTTTCTGAATAAAAATTTTCCTGTAGTTGCTCATCTTGTCTCCTTCCCACTTTCACTGCTCTTCCAAAACTTGGCTTGATATGTTTGTGATCCCTACCCAGACTTCTGGAGCCACCTTCATCTATGTGCATTCCCCTGAGCTTATCATACATCCTATGTGACATCAGTGCGTAATCTATTGTCGATTGCAGCCTTCCTACCTTCCATGTAATTTGCCCTTCACACTTCTCGGTACTGTTGCAAATGATCAAATCAAGCCTTTCACACAAATTTTCTTCGCAATACGTATTTTTCGAAAGGACCGTGATGATGCCATGACATCATCCGGAGGTGTTGCCA